AAAATAGTTCAAGGAAATTATCGATCAAATTATAAGATACCAAATGAATCATATGGTGATGGCTTGATTGAACGTAAGGGTCAGTGAAGTTCTCTATTCTGATATTTAATATAGTGCTTCTACAAAATAGGCATTGTGTTTCGCAAGTACTTAGTGTCAAGTATCATACTTGTTCATGGTCATTGTGTCAAGCATCATTGTTGTTACGAGCCAAAAGAGCGTCTGTGTAGAAAGCTATATTGTTGTGGGCCCAAACAGATTCAGTTAAAAGGACTTCGTTATACAATTAACAGAATTTGTCCTTTTCCCGTTGCTGGTCTTTTCCTGGCGAGTTGTGAGGAACTGTTCCTGTGATATTAGAAACTAGGAATAGAGAACATAGCGAAAGAAATGTTTTCAAAATATTCGATTCGTAAAAGAAGTTTTCACCCTCGAGTATCAACTTACTTTCGCTGTTGGCAGGTTGCACAAGCGAACAAAATATAAGATTCTGCGTCTTATTTTAGATGGCAAAATTTAATCTTAATTGAAATGATTTTACTTTAAAGTAATCATGGGTAATATAACTGCATGTTATGCTCTTCAAAGTATAAATAGTATTTTGAAATATGCGTGGTGAGAGAAACTAGTTATAATTTTCAAAGAATTTCATTTGAATTGGGGCGAGGATTTTAGTCTTCAATGTATTAACTTACTAATGGGTTAAGATGAATAAAGCCACAAGCAAAACCGTGATTTCTTTTAATTAAATAAGCTTTTGGCCTTCTGTTTCTTTATAATGATTTTTGTCGAAAATCAAAATCATATTTAGATTTGTGGGATTAGCAATTACAGTGCGATATTATGGGGCGAGAAACGAAACTATGTTTTAACCGATTGACAAAAAAAGTGAAGATCCTTCAAATATATTTTGGCGCTCGGCTTTGGATAAGATATTCATGCTGATTATCAAGTTACTAATGGGTTTTTAGTTTTGAATCAGTAAACCGTGCCTTCTCTATAAAGAATCCACAAGTACCAGTTATTTCTTTCATTTAAACTCCCTCTAAGGTGGCTTAAAACAGTTTCTATCACTTAGATTTTAATGGGTCGTTATAACCACTCTTTATCACTTAATGCTACAATCATGGTCCGAAGAAAAACTGCCTAATCATTAGTGAACACGTTCTTATCATTTTCGTGGCACAATAGGTTACCATAGCAACGGCGCGACCTGCCAAAAACACCCTTAATAACAGCTTTATAGGCATATAATGAAAAAACGCTCAAAAGGCTTCTTCTCAAAAGGCTTCTGCTGCAACCTGGTTACCCTCATGGCATCATCACTTTTAATATTAATGATGTCCTGAACAAGAGCAAGTACAAGCCAAATGAACCTATGGCAACAGTCCCCCAAAAAGATGTTATTATTTTATTACCTTATATAGGTCTCCATAGCAATCGCATTGCTGAGCGTCTAAAATCTTGTGTAAATCGGTTCTACTCTTTTGCTTGTGTCAAAGTTATTTTTCAAAACACCTGGCGCATCAAATCCTTCTCCCCATACAAGGACTGTCTCAACCGATCACAATTATCCAAAGATATGATTGATCATCCCAGTCACACACACTTAAGCAGTTGTGAAATTTAAGCCTGAAAAAAAAATTCAGGCCTGAACGGGATTCGAAGCCATGACCTTTGCGATACCGGTACAGTGCTCTACCAACTGAGCTATCACGCCAAGTGGGAACTGGTCAGTAAGTGAGTTCGTAACATACCCGTAGATGATGAAGAATGCAAATGAACAGATATTTTACATTGAGAAAAGTAAACGAAGACTTCACGACCGGAAAACAGAACATTTCAAGGTCCTTTCGAAACGTGATCACTCCTGCTATTGCTGAACACGTTCAAACAACTGGTCACAACATCAAATTTTGACATTTTGGCGTCCGCCAAAACTGACTACCATTGTAAGGTTAAGGAGACCTTGTTTATTCAGAAGTCGCAGCCAGCATTGAATGTCAATGTCAGCGGTGAAAAGCTTTTACTTTCTTAGGAACGCTTTTCCATTGTGTCACTTTACAGACAGTTCCCGTTTGAAACGTCTTAAATTTCTATTGCAGATGTTTTCCGTCTAGGTTCCAGACCCCCATTGAAACAGTATAAATAGCTTTTCGGTTAACGGTTATACTTTTGAAAATGTATGACTAGCATGCGAAACGTCAAGTTTAAAAAATGCATGTTTTTAAAATGTTTATCACCACTGTATGTGTTATATCTTTAATCTAACCTACTTTATTTTAATTGTCTTCTGGCTTCACTTGAACGACTTAAGAATATACGAAGCAGTCTTGATGATCACCAAACTTTGATCCAGTTAAACAAAGGCAGCCAAATATTAAATGCTGAGAAACACAGCTTTGCCTGTTTCAGTAAGTTCCGGCTGAAAATACTGATTGTATATAGGGCTATTTTCTGTTTGATCTTCCTACTGTTAGCAAAATTCGAAGTGACGAAAACTTTCAATCACCTTCGTTCGTCCTTCCGTTCGCCCGTTCGTTCATTCGCTCGTTTGTTCATGTGTTTGTCCGTGCGTTCGTTCGTTCGCTCATTCGTTCGTTCATTCGTTCGTTCATTGATTCCGGCGTTTGTCCATGTGTTTGTCCGTCCGTCCGTTCGTTCGTTCGTCCGTTCGTCCGTTCGTCCGTCCGTCCGTCCGTCCGTCCGTCCGTCCGTCCGTTCGTTCGTTCGTTCGTTCGTTCGTTCGTTCGTTCGTTCGTTCGTTCGTTCTTTCGCTCGTTCGTTCATTTGTGCGTTCGTGCGTTCGCCCGTTCCTCCACTCGTTCATTCGTTCGTCCATTCGTTCATTCATTCGTGCGTTTGTCCGTGTGTTTTCCGTTCGTTCGTTTGTTTGTTCGTCCGTTCGTTCGTCCGTTCGATCATTGTTCGTCCATTCGTTCATTCGTTCGTTCATTCATTCGTGCGTTTCTCCGTGAGTTCGTCAGTTCATTCGTTCGTTCTTTCAATCCTTGATTTTCGCTCCTCTTTGTTCACCTAGGGGAAACACAGTACATATTGCTTAAGCTGGAGAAAGTTTTAATTTAGTCAGAGTGCTTAATTCGATATTTCAATCGGATGTTTTCGTTGTAACTGGCATTTTTTTCCTTACCAGAACATCGGATAATCGTGGTCATGGCTCGGACAAAGGTTTTAGTTATTGTGCTAATTTTGGCCTTGACAGAAAACTACACAGGTATGTGTACGGCTGCATAACATAGTTATACAAGATTTAAGAAATAGAAAACATGTACCGTGTTACTATCGAGTTTTAGAAGAATTCTGCTAGTATACTAATGCAAATGCTGTAATCTGATTGGTTGAGCAATTGCACACTATCAGCCATTATAGTTCACCACTAGATTTTCTCTGATTCTTATTAGTTTAAACTTATCACGTGACGCTATAGTGTTCATCCGCGGAGAAACATCAGCCCAAAGTTCCCGTTCGAGGAAACTACCCGGATGGATAGTACTCGTCCGTGAAAATATTTCTGTAAACAAGCGGGCTTAAAGATAATATACAACTGAAATTGTATTAAGTGGGTTTTTGTCTGTTTTCTTTTTCAAATTTTACATTTGGCTTTCAAATAATTCAACATGATTTTTGAACTGGTGCGCAGAAGAAAATTTAGTGGTGAAAAATAAAGACAATAGAGTGTTTATGTCTCGGAACTATCGGTCTGATAATTGCCCCTTGGAAATTTGGTGTTCTTAATTAAAACTAAAATATTTCCATCAAATTAAGAACATCAAATTTCCGCGGGAAAACTATCAGCCGATAGTTCCTCGACAGAAACACTGTGTTGTTTAAATAGAAACCTTGAGCTCATAATCTAATTGATAATTATAGCTTTGCTATGATATATAGTTTATAGTGGTTGTCTCTAAAGTAGCGTGTACAGAAAGATTTTTCCTGAAGGTACCCTTGAAAATGCATAGTGTCTTTGAAGTCCCGACGGACTAATTTGACGTTTAAAATTTTGAGGCTCTAGGGAGCGGGGGCAATTGAATTTCATCAGTGTGATGTATAGACTGGGCATGTGTAGGGTGCTGCTGAGTCAGTTTGGAAGAAATAAAACCAAAAATAGCTATCTTGCGTATGACCCAGTATAGACAATCTTATGATGTTAAGAACCACAGGTTTAGACCTGTCTAGAACAGACTCGCGTAAACGTATTTAGCCTACCCACAGACGGCTGATGATAACACAAGGTTTTTCTGCAGGAACTGCCCTACATACGGTGGCTGCGCCCACAGTACTAGCGGCGATCAAGGCCGAGCTGTCCGAACGAAACGACACGATAATGACTGTACACGGTAATAGTCCGGCTTTTTTGCTCGCAGCAAACAAAAATAAAGACAATGCGCAAGTCGCTCTGGCCCCTTCATATACTTAGCTCGAGAATTCTGGGTTTAATCTGACGAGGAACAACACATTTTCTATTCAAAATTACACAACTATTTTCCTATTAGCGATACTAGAGGAGCGACGAGCGAGTTGCCGGACTCGAGTGACCCAGTTGGGCGCCAAATTCAAACTATTTCATATTTTCCACTTTCTTACAATTTGGTCGGTTTTGGCATTATAAATTCCTTTTCGTGAATATTCAATGCTGTCTCCAGTGTGAAAAGTTGCCCGAATTCAAACTTCAGGCTTCGACAGGACAGGACAGTTTTTCCCGCCTGCTGAATCCTGATTGGTCAATTCAATTCAATTCAGTTTTAGGCGCGCCATCCCGTATAAAAGTGATTAGATGATTTAACAACCGCTATTCAGCAACTTCAGATAGCTTCAAAGTATTCAAGAAGAAGCGTGAAAACGTTCCAAAGTGGCAAGACGAAATTGATTTTTATGATGATTTGAGAATTAAATGGGACTGGATGAAATACAAAACTCGTGAGAAAAGTATATCGTATAGCAAACTTAAGGCTAAGTAAAGGAGAAATAGAATTCAGATAATTGAAAAGAAGCTCAAAATATTTGAAGAGATAATAGCAGAATCACCGACACAAGAAAATCTTGTCAACCTCGAGTCGGCCAAGACAGGGCATGAAAAAGAGTAATATATAGACTTAAGCCAGCCTCAAAGCGTAGCTCCTGGGCCGGGTTGTTCAGGACCCGATTAAGCTAACCCAGGAAAAGGTAGAATTTTGATGTGAGTTTTGTAACTTTGCGGTGAGGTTTTCTGCATATTGTTTGGCCTTCTGTGTTGATTTTTAATACCCTACAATCTTTATTTGTACTCATTCTGGCTAAAGAAAAAAATTACAATTTCAATGAAAATATTAAAAGTAAAAATTTGAGTACTAGCTGCCTGGAATNCCAGTTAACATCAGCATTAAATAGAAATAAAATACAGGTCAGCAAGAAACCTTGAGCACAAATGAACACACAAGAATAAAAAAGAAGAAGAGCAAAAACGCTATTTCTAGATATGAAGAAAGTCTAAAATTGTTTAAGTTATATATGAATACAAAACATTCATATAAGAAGAGCACACAATAGCTATGGCAACTAATAACAGCTATATATTAAACTATAAAAGAAAGATTTGAAAAGGTGACAGAAATCAACAAAATACTAATTTACAGGTAAATTAGAAAACAACACAACTGCTAATAAGAACCTAAGTAACTAAAATCTTTGACTAGATCATTGAGATGACAAGGTCAGGCAGTTTAACAGTATTTAAGTGTTTGAAAATTGGACTAGAATGCTCATGAAATTTAGAGAAAGTCATCACCCTCATTGCTCTCTTTTGTAAAATAAACAAAGGCTGGGTAGTTGAAGAATAAGCCGGTTACCCCAAGAAATTAAACCATAGGTTAAGAAGGGATATATTAAGGCATAATATAGTTTAAACAGTATATCTGAATTCACATAATAACGAAGTTTAGAAAGAATCCTAATATTTCGCTTAATCTTTATAGCAATATAGCTTACTTGACTTTTCAACGATAATCACCATATGAAAAAAGAAACAAAGCAGCAATAAACATTTGTATAGAAGAAAAAGTTACAATTCGGTTAACTTTTAATCCTGGGTTAGCGTTAACTGGCTTCCGAACAATCCTGCCCTGTTTTCACCAAGTTAACCTGACATGAGCCCGCGATCCAATCGAAAACCAGCACTTGGTCAGCAGTCAACTTAACAAAATACGTGACCACGATGAGCTATAAACTTGAGCCCGCGATATGGTCACGTGATACTAGTCAGCGGAACCTTGTTTTGGCAGGTGTCAATTGATCATAACATCAAAGAAGCACCCGGTAAACCAAGGCTGCATGTCTCTGTCAACCTATTATTTGGAGTATGGCCGCCATGTTGCGCGACTCCGTGGCCGTCGTGCGTACGTGCCCACGAGCAATACCGCTAGCCATGCTGACCATGAGAAAATCAACTGATGGGTTTCCTTTTCTTTCCTATAGGAGTATGGGGCTCAGCTTGGCGGCCTGAAGCTCCGCTACGATAACATTGTAAGAGGCTCAATCATCCGTCCCCGCGCTACATGGTTTGAACAAGGGGAAAGAAACAGCAAGTATTTCCTGAATCTAGAAAACAGAAATAAGAAAAAAAGCTGCATACGAAAGCTTATTCGAGCAAACGGAGAAGAGACTACTGTTCCGGACGCTATTATGAATGAAATCCACAGTTTTTATTCAGAATTGTATGACGAAAAGTCGGGAATACAAACTGACTATTCAACTTGCCCCTTTCTGGAAGATACCGGTTCATCTCCTAAGCTAACAGACTCAATGCGTGACACGTGCGAGGGCCAATTAACACTGATATTCCGCATGTTTCAAGGTTCTGCCTGCCTTTAGTAACGGTAAAACTCCCGGAAACGATGGGCCTACAATAGAATTTCACAAGTTCTTCTGGTCAGAAATGGGACCGTGGACTCATTAAATTATGCGTATTTTCAAGGAGAATTATCAAATTCGCAAAAGCAAGCCGTAATAACCTTAATTCAGAAAAAGGACAAAGACAGGAAATGGATAAAAAACTGGAGACCAATTTTTCTGGTAAATGTTGATGTAGCTAAAAGGCTAGAGAAGGTCTTACCACACATTATTCATTACGGATCAGAATGCCTTTGTGAAAGGACGAACCATTTTTGATGCAGCTTGTACGATAAGCGATGTTATGGAATTTACAAAAATGCGAGACTACCAAGGTATAATGGGTGCAAGAGATTTTGATAAAGCCTTCGTTTTTTGAAATTAGAACTTCCTTCTCGAATCATTAGAATTCTTTGGCTTCGGAGAATCCTTCTTGGGGTGGATCAAAACATTTTATAAGAATATATCAAGTTGTGTTATCAATAATTGCTTTTCTACTCCCTCTTTCAATCTTAATCGGGGTGTTCGCCAGGGCGAGCCACTTTCGCCATTTCTTTTCATAATAGTACTTGAATTGTTGGCATTATTGTACATTTTAGTCACCATCTGTCTTCTCGTTGGCTAAAAGGCTACAGTTAATTCTGGGAAACAGAGCAACCTACAGATTACTCACTAATCTGCTAGGAGATTAATGAATGATCCGTAGGTTGCGCACGCAATGCATAATTTCCAAGAGCAATGTCAAGTTCACGGACAGCGAAGTAAGAACATGGCTTGTCGAAACTAAACTGTATTCGGTGCGATAGTGCATTTGTAGTTATTTTCTTTAAAGCAATGTATAATAAAACAATTATGAGATTCAGTTTTTGTGATATCCGAAATAGTCAAGGTCTCGGTTAGTGTTATCAGCCGAAGCCGAAGGCTGAGGCTGATAACACTTACCTCAATCTTGATTATTCCGGATATCACAAAAACCTCATCCAATAATTGTTTATTATCCATATGTAACAACGGCTAAATTAAGGGTATTGCTGGTGATGGTTATGAAATCAAATAAGTTATACTCGCTGATGATATGACATCATTTGTTGGGGAAAAACTTTCGCACTGCATCCTTTTTGATACTACCGATCTGTTTAGTACATACTCCAGATTGAAGGGTTAATCACGACAAAACGGAAATTCTTCTACTAGAAAACATGGTAGTACGCAGCTCAGAACTAAACAAAAAATCCATTTCCACGATAAAAAATGGGAACCTTTATTCCCATTAATACGACAGTAGCTGTTATCAAGACCTCGTTTTTTGAAGATTCCCTTAATCTCTTTATTTAATTTAAGTTGAATAAGTTATATAATCCTTGTAGTGTAGTGCATGCAGTGTAGTTTTTTCTTCGTAGTTTGTAATTAAGGTAATTGTTGTAAATCTTGTAATGTTTGTACGTATCGATCTGTATGTTCTTGTACTATAACTGTGAAAAAAAATATATACATAAAATACAAAAAACAAGAGAAGAAAATCAATCGCGTATTTGAGTCATCGGATTCTCACTCGACAATCTTGTAAAACAGTACATGGTAGTTTTTAACTAATGTAATATTCTGAATGGATTGTGTTTTTGGTAAACTTTTACTGTAGATTTTAACGTGGTTTTAGATTGATTGATTGTTGGATCGATCGATTGATTGATTGATTGATTGATTGATTGATTGGTTGGTTGGTTGGTTGACTGTTTGATTGATTGATTGATTGATTGATTGACTGATTGATTGGTTGATTGATTGTTTGATTGATTGATTGTTTGACTGACTGACAGACTGACTGATTGACTGATTGATTGATTGATTGATTGATTGATTGATTGGTTGATTGATTGATTGATTGATTGATTGATTGGAAGTTGCGTTGTATTTCTACGTTTGACCGCTTTGTGCTCGAAGGTAGCGTCCTCTCGACTTTGTCCCTTTCCCAATCTATTTGAGGTAAAGTCTTTTCAAATCTGATGCCAATTCTACCTTGTAGACTACAGGGAAATTGTTAAGCAATTGATATATTCCTTTCTAGATTGTTCGACGCATATGACTATGGAGGAAGTGGCGGAATTACATTTCTGCGAAGAAAAGGCGACATATCAGGATACCACTCTTGCCAAGTTCGTGAAACGTTGTTCTCCAAAAGCCTGGCGAGACTTTTTTACGCACAAAAGAGTTTCAGAAGCTATTGAAAGAGCAGATGATGCAATAAGATACGCAAAGAAAGAGATTGATGCAATTCAAGCAAAACAACCAAAATTACTCAGGTACAGGTATCACATAGAACCACCAATGCAACTCATGCTTGAGGCCTTCAATAGGGTCAGTCCAGAGAACATCAAAGTGGTTATTTTGGGTCAGGATCCTACTCCACAAGAAGGAAAAGCTACAGGCAGGGCTTTTAGTGTTGAAGACCCGCGCACAGTTGGGTCAGTAATGAACGTATTGCTAGAGGTAGCCCTAGAGGGATGGAGTGTAGATCTATCAAACGGCGATCTGAGTAAGTGGGAGAATCAAGGTGTTCTGCTGTTGAATTCGGCATTGACGATTGGAGAAATTGAATATATAGATGAAAATGATAATGGTAAAATTAAAAGAAAACAGGTATCTCATTTAGGTTATTGGTGTGAATTTACAAAGTTGCTCATAAGATACATTAGCTATGACCTTGCCGAACCATCTGTTTGGATTCTCTGGGGAAACGTTGCCCAAGATTTCACTGTTGACAGAGTGTTTGACACGTTCAGTAAATGTTATAACCCCACTCAGGCCAGTACGACTGACATAACAAAGGAACAAAGCCTTATCAGTAGACCCAAAAACTACGTCCTGATGGGAGGCCACCCCTCACCCTTGAGTAGTGCTGGCGGAATGAATACATTCTTTGCTGGCCATTACTTTCATTGCGTCAACCTATTTCTTTATGAAAAGAGGCATGGTGCCTACATAAAGTGGGGACTGGTCGATGGTCATAGTGAAAAACTTAACGTAGGTAGCCTTTTTTATCCATGTCCAGAATTTCATTAATCATCATGGCTATAGAATCTGCTGTCGTAACTTCTATGGGTTGACATTCAATTCTTGAGTGACATGCATGACTGGTGATTTATGAAAACGTATTTAATGAAAAGACACAATGCTTATTTGCCTCATGCGAAGCATCCAGTTGAGCAATATGATCATACTAAATATCAAATGCACGCGCACGTCATATTTGAACTGTTTTCAAAGCAATTCCGTTGAGGAAAAAAAAAAATGAACACGTTATCTACCGGCAGTTTTTCCTAATACGGACCTCCCGGCCGGCAAATAACGTATATTTACGAGTAATGTTGCATTTCTTAGTTTCGACATTTAAACACCTCGCCCTTTCAGGGTACGTGAATATTAAAATCGATAAACTTTACACATAAGAGAGTGTCTGGTTATCCATCTATCGATCTCAGTAAAATTCCTTTTGAATAACAACTGCGGTTAAGGCTGACATCAGCTTTGAACCGGAAAGTTGTTCCATAGTCAATTATGTGTGTTAATCAAGCTCTATAAACGTGCACGCCGAGGCATTTTTTTTTTTAGAAACAGAACTGACAAGTGTGAAAATCGTAGGCGTACGAGCTGGAGGAGGCGGGGCTGCTGCAGCCTTCCCCCCCCCCTCTCCCCCCAGCTACGGAAATTACGTGATTTTTCGGGCAAAACGCTCATGATTCGGGCAAGGACACGAGAGAAAACAGTACAAAATAATGCTGCTTGCGTGATTTCCAGAACTCGTAAATAAAGTTTCTAGTTGGTTACTTTTTTTTCAGAATTTTTTCTTTC